CTATTCATATAGCTTAGTATACCTCACTTGTATCCAGAAAGGACTTGGTCACTATGGTGATACTCTTTGTCACATCTTATCTTGTAACATTCACATTTAAGATTAATTTCCAACCGTTTGATCCATAGCTTGAGATGTTAAACAAATTTTATTAGTCCATGAAGTTTTATGATAATTATGTGATTATGGTGTCTCTACAGATTACTTGTATTATACAAGAGATCAGCGTTATTAAACCACATTGATCAATAATGCATCAACAGTATAATTGCTGTCACACAATAAATAAATGAAACACTATACAAATCTGTAGCTACTATACCTAGGTAACAAGTATTACTACAATCAATTATCAAGATTTATCTGTAAAACCCTGGTATACTGCCAAGATTTATCTGTAAAACCTTGTTATACTGCCAGGATTTATCTGATTTATCTGCCAAGATTTATCTGTAAAACCTTGTTATACTGCCAAGATTTATCTATAAAACCTTGTCATACTGCCAAGATTTATCTGTAAAACCTTGTCATACTGCCAAGATTTATCTGTAAAACCTTGTTATAATGCCAAGATTTATCTGTAAAACCTTGTCATACTGCCAAGATTTATCTGTAAAACCTTGTTATACTGCAAAGATTTATTTGTAAAACTTTGGTATATTGTCAAGACCTCTCTGTTAAATCTTGTTATACTGCAAAAATTTATCAGTTTAACCTTATTCTAAAATAATGGTAATGTAAAATACCTTTTTATTGGATAATATCATGATCTAATCCCCGATATACTCATGAATTCTGATGCTAGCCCAAATATGGCTGCCATCTTTCTGGAGAAATTTATTATTATAACTACATGCTAAAATGTGACATGGAAATATGAAGTGGAGAATACCATGATGACGTGAAATGTCCTGATTGACAGTAATCTCAGAATGTTGATAAAATGATAAGTGTGCCTATATCGTTAGAGTAGGTGATACTCTCAATCCTGGGACCAACTTCTATCGTAACCTCACAACTAAACAAAGTTACATTACATGGTATTGTCCCCTACTTTTACTGGATAAAAATATTGAGAATAATACACAAATCCCAATCTCCATTTGAAAGAAACACGCCTACAACTTCTATTGAGTCTCTTGTGATGATCTCTTGTCAATGCCTCTCTACATATAACGTCCATTGTTTTGTCGATCTACTTTAATGAACAACTTTATTTACCATTCACAGATAGACATGACAAATCTTTGGTATATCCGTCAGAAATCAATAAAAATGATAATCCATGTAGAAAAACACTTTAAGCCTTTTTATACGCCTTGATCTACATCTTGACCAGAATTAACTTGACAGGAAAGTAGGCAGACTTTAGGAATTTTGTTGATATTGAGATAATTTCAACACTTTTAAACTCCAATTATTTTGGAATGGAGATATCATGCTTGTTTTTATACATATACTAGAGATCAGATCATGATTTTTGTTGTTTTAACACTCAACTTGACTGCCTCTCATATTAAAACTGTAAGTCATTATCTCCAGTACATGTATTAAAGCAAGCATACTATTCCCTAATTATACTGCCAAGACTTATTAGTGAAACCTTGTTATACTGCCAAGAGTTATCATTAAAACCTTGTTTTGTCAGAATTTATCTGTAAAATCTTGTCAAACTGTTAACACTTATTTCTAAGCTGCCACTAAACAACTAGACTGAGGCTGTGAGAATCAAGAGAAGTCATCAGACTACAAAGACTCCAGAAAAGTGAAAGACTCGAACTAGACTCATATCAATCCAGAGTATTACTGGAAGGTCAAACTAGACTCATATCAATCCAGAGTATTACTGGAAGGTCAAACTAGACTCATATCAATCCAGAGTATTACTGGAAGGTCAAACTAGACTCATATCAATCCAGAGTATTACTGGAAGGTCAAACTAGACTCATAAGGTCAATCCAGAGTATTACTGGAAGGTCAAACTAGACTCATATCAATCCAGAGTATTAAAGGTCAAACTGGAAGGTCAAACTAGACTCATATCAATCCAGAGTAGTACTGGAAGGTCAAACTAGACTCATATCAATCCAGAGTATTACTGGAAGGTCAAACTTGACTCATATCAAGCTGGAGTAGTACTGGAAGGTCAAACTAGACTCATATCAATCCAGAGTAGTACTGGAAGGTCAAACTAGACTCATATCAATCCAGAGTATTACTGGAAGGTCAAACTAGACTCATATCAATCCAGAGTATTACTGGAAGGTCAAACTAGACTCATATCAATCCAGAGTATTACTGGAAGGTCAAACTAGACTCATATCAATCAAGTATTACAAGGTCAAACTAGACTATATCAATCTGGAGTAACTGGTCAAACTAGACTCATATCAATCCAGAGTATTACTGGAAGGTCAAACTAGACTCATATCAATCCAGAGTATTACTGGAAGGTCAAACTAGACTCATATCAATCCAGAGTATTACTGGAAGGTCAAACTAGACTCATATCAATCCAGAGTATTACTGGAAGGTCAAACTAGACTCATATCAATCCAGAGTATTACTGGAAGGTCAAACTAGACTCATATCAATCCAGAGTAGTACTGGAAGGTCAAACTAGACTCATATCAAGCTGGAGTAGTACTGGAAGGTCAAACTAGACTCATATCAATCCAGAGTAGTACTGGAAGGTCAAACTAGACTCATATCAATCCAGAGTAGTACTGGAAGGTCAAACTAGACTCATATCAATCCAGAGTATTACTGGAAGGTCAAACTAGACTCATATCAATCCAGAGTATTACTGGAAGGTCAAACTAGACTCATATCAAGCTGGAGTATTACTGGAAGGTCAAACTAGACTCATATCAAGCTGGAGTATTACTGGAAGGTCAAACTAGACTCATATCAAGCTGGAGTATTACTGGAAGGTCAAACTAGACTCATATCAATCCAGAGTATTACTGGAAGGTCAAACTAGACTCATATCAAGTTGGAGTATTACTAGAAGGTCCAACTAGACTCATATCAATCCAGAGTAGTACTAGAAGGACAAACTAGACTCTCAAATAATCTAGAGAAGTATCTTAAAGATACCAGACTAAAAATAAATGAACAACCCCAAAGAAGTTTGAGTTAGCTAAATAATATAAGGCAAACAAAACTACAAATCCTCTTGATGTTTGAGAAGACAAGCTTAAAATTAAATGACTAAAGTGCAATAAATAGAATTTTCATCTGATCAATCATACCAAAAAAAAAAGACTTCAAATTTCAGATTTGGTTTTAAATTAAAAAGTCTCAAAACAGATTATCAACTGATCAATATAAATTATGTCAAAGATGACAATCAAGTTGAAACTAGTGGAATGTTTGTCACTGATTTGTCCCCCGGTAGTCTTGTAGTGTCAGGGATTAGCACATCGATTCCGCTGCACTTAAAATTTTGCTGCATTTGCAGATTAGATAGGAAGAAGCGTGTGACAAATTTCCTGACAGCCGAAAATTCCTTTGTTATCAAACCAGGGACATCTAGCTCACTGCTGTCAGGACTCTTCACAGGCTATGTTATATATACCAGCATATCAGAATTCATTTTCTCACATCAATAAATCATCATTCTTGCTTGTTGGTACATGTACCTATAGAACCTTTGAAAGGTGCATCATCTATAGTGCAGTCAGGCAGAAACTAATGGGTTCCATCAATAGTGTTGTAGAATAGAGAAAGTGGTGTGTACTTTTTCCAGCTCAGCAGAATTTCATAAATAAATCACTGCTGAGGCCTCTGCAGCAGACTGATCAAATTCAAACAAGGCTCTCTACAGGCACTAGCCATCCTTGAATTCAAATGGTTGTTTAGACCCATTATTTTCGCTTTAAATTTCCCTTCCCTTAGAGTTCAATGGGACTCAATAAACCGGGGATTATTTGGTCACTTAAGGAAAGGATCAGTTTGGAAAAAGAGATCAAATTCAAAGTTTGTTCGTCTCAATCTGCATGTGATTGCTTTATACCTAGGCCATCTTGCAAATGCATTATATGGTAATTTGTACTACATAGAACAGCCTAATCTCCAATTTATAGTGGGTTTTTTGGGGTTTTTTTATCTATTCATTCATTTAATTTTATTTATCTTTATTTCTAGTGTTTTTTTGTTGTTTATGTCTTTGGGTTCTGTCTTTGTTTGGAAAAGTGAAAGGTCAGAAATTGAGTCACAGAAAATAAGTGAATTTTCATTGAGTGTGTAACAAACATTTGACTGTGTAACAAAATGTGTTTGTTTTTGTAGTACACACCCTAGAGACTTGTGTTTATCTATCAAACAATGAAAATTTGTGATTTGTGGTTAGGAATCAATGGGTCGGCAGATCACTACACTCAATGGCACACCAATACATCTAGATATACTGAAGATTTGTAATACTCCAAGGATAAAGAGTACATCACTACAGCTATGTTAGATAAAAACAGAAAGCCACTAGAGAATCCTGCCTGATGCTGTCCCTTGCTTTAACTTGTTCTGAACTAAGACTTGCATGACATCTTGAGAGTCCTAGAAAAGTGTCCCCTTTTTTTTGTGAGGTCTTAAGACCCTGTAGTAAACAAACTCTGCTTTTTTTCGATGCCAATGTCTTAAACACCTTTGTGTTAATATTTGAAGTGTTTAGCAAGTTTGAGTATCTAACCAAAAATAAGAACATGACAAAAACTTCATGTCGTTGCTTGCTACCACAATACTTCCTCCAAAATAGACTAGTTTCTGTCCAGCTTATTACACCGAAAACAAAACGGCAAACTTGGAGTCTACCTTTAATTTCTGATGCATAACAGATGAGAAATACTGAAGACAACATTTAGATAAGTACAGGTAAAGAAGAAGTACTTGTGTATAAAACAAAAAATATGAAGAATGACATGCTGAGCAGATAAACAGTCATCACTCTAATCATGTTTCCGTGCAAATATTCAATTAATGTGATAAAAAGTAAAACTTACTTGTCTTGCTGGGCACGAATCTCGCCCTCATACTGTTTCTCAGCACGGCGTTTTTCCTGTTGTATCAGATTGTCCATTTCTTGACTGTTAGGTCGGACACATAGTTTCATCTCATCTCTGAAATACATGCAAGCTCATCAACATATAGCAGTAAAGTGAAAGAATCCTAAAAACAAAGCCTTTCATCAGCACCAAGCCTCTGAGCCATGAGAACCTGTTCACCAAGTCTCTGAGCCGTGAGAACCTGTTCACCAAGTCTCTGAGCCATGAGAACCTGTTCACCAAGTCTCTGAGCCGTGAGAACCTGTTCACCAAGTCTCTGAGCCATGAGAACCTGTTCAACAAGTCTCTGAGCCATGAGAACCTGTTCCCAAGTCTCTGAGCCGTGAGAACCTGTTCAACAAGTCTCTGAGCCATGAGAACCTGTTCACCAAGTCTCTGAGCCGTGAGAACCTGTTCACCAAGTCTCTGAGCCGTGAGAACCTGTTCAACAAGTCTCTGAGCCATGAGAACCTGTTCCCAAGTCTCTGAGCCGTGAGAACCTGTTCACCAAGTCTCTGAGCCATGAGAACCTGTTCACCAAGTCTCTGAGCCATGAGAACCTGTTCCCAAGTCTCTGAGCCGTGAGAACCTGTTCCCAAGTCTCTGAGCCATGAGAACCTGTTCCCAACTCTCTGAGCCGTTAGAACCTGTTTACCAAGTCTCTGAGCCGTGAGAACCTGTTCACCAAGTCTCTGAGCCGTGAGAACCTGTTCACCAAGTCTCTGAGCGGTGAGAACCTGTTCACCAAGTCTTTGAACCGTGAGAACCTGTTCACCAAGTCTCTGAGCCATGAGAACCTGTTCATTCAACAATTAGTCAATGAACCATGAGAACTAGGTCACTTAACAATTAACTGATGAACCATGAGAACTAGGTCACCAAGCAATTAGTCAATGAACCATGAGAACTAGGTCACCCAACAATGAATCAATGAACCATGAGAACTAGGTCACTAAATAATTAATTGCTGAACCATGAGAACTAGGTCACCAAGCAATGAGTCATTGAGTAATGAGAACTTGGTCACTCAACAATAAGTCACTGAACCATTGAAACTAGGTCTCCCTTCAACATGAGGCCTAGTGGCCTTGATGGTTACCTGAGGTCAGCAATATTGCATATAAATGCTATTTGAGTAGGTAACTTTCAAGTGTAACATAACAGAAATTGTGACATTAAAGATATAATGATTTATGCAATATGATTCCAGTCTCTAGGAATCAGCCGGTGTAAATGTAAGTCTAGAACTTGAGATGTTTAAAGAAATATCTCAAGCAACCAGCATTTTTGGTAAGGCCATAGGAAACTTGAGTTATTCCACAAAATGGATTTTCCATTATTGCAACAATAACCTCAACCTTTTCCTTCTGGGTCTAAAAAGTAATCCCTAGCAACACTTTCATTAAGAAAGCATTGAGTGAAGTTTGAGTTTGATCAGCCCTAGGGAAGTTATATCATGAAAACCAATTTTCTACTTAGAGTGACAGTAATCTGAACCATTTAACCTGGAACCTGAGAAGCAATTCAAAGTAAGCCTTTGATTGGCAAAAGCAAACTCTAGTTTTCACATGGAAACTATTTTCTATTTATAGAAATTTTTGTCTATTAGTATCTATCTAGTAACAGTTACCTTGACCATTGACCTTCAAAATTGTAAAGCAATCCCAAGCAAAACTTTCACTAACGAAGTACTGTATGAAGTTTGGGTTAGATTGGCCAAAACAAACTCTAGTTTTCACATGGAAACTATTATATATTTATAGTAACAGTGACCTTAACCTGTGACCTTTGATGATGAAAAACTATCCCATGAAAGCAATTTCAATAAGGAAGCACTGTATGAATTTTGAGCTTGATCAGCCCCAGGAAACTCACGTTATTAAAGTGCTGACAGAAAAACAGATAAAATGACACTGTAATTACCATAGAGCACCCACGCTTTCATGCTCGGTCCTAAATATGATTAAACATTAAGCATTAGATGGGACTTTAAAGTGAATCTTCATGAAAATCTGTGAGATCTGGTGTTGCTATTGGTTTGTCACCACACTGATATATGCCATGTATTTTTTTTTTTTTTTTTTTAAATTGCATCAAACCCCATGATACTGCAGTAATGACAGCTTTATGGTCCATCAAAGACATTGTCATCCTCGTTGTCATCATCATCACTTCTTCTTATGCCTTTCTCAATAATGTAGGTTTCATTGATGCCTCATATGCAGACATCAACAAATTTAGTTCAAGTTCGACAAGAACCAACTTCCATTTGTAAAGACGAAGTTAAAAGATAAAATAAGATAAGAAGGCGCCTTGAAATTCTGCCAATAATCATAGAGTTGATACATAAATCTGACATAATGAATATGTATGCTGTAATGATCAACAGTACGGTGACTACACACAGCATACAGTTCAAGCTAATGCCCAGAAAGCCATTTACTGCTATACAAACTCATTTAACACTGAATGGATTCATTTCCCAACCTATTTTTTAGGACAGAGACTTTCACATGAGTGAAGTATTTAATTCTAAGAAATGTTTATTTCACGGTTGAATCTTTCTGTGAGATTTCGTAATGGAAGCCTATCTGTATAACAGTATATTGCCAGATAAGATTAACGCTCACTATAGACATAATCCTTTAAGATTTCCAGTCGTCAAGACTGCAGAATACTGAGCTCAACTTTTAGTCTAAAGATTTAATATGATACAATACTAAAACCTCATAAATGTCCTATTCGCTGGATGTACTGAGTGCTTTGCCACCCCAGCGAGCATTTTCTAATCCACTATTCCTGACTTTACAGATACATATGTAAAATGAACTAAAAAAAAAAAATATTTGATGATTAATTTTGCTATAAGCTTAGCTTTCAATAGTATGACCTTTGAACCCCCAATATTTACCTGTGCTATTGTTAAATCCCCATCAGAAACCCCCTCCCTGACACTTACCTGTGCTATTGTTAAACCCACATCAGACACACCCCTCCCTGACACTTACCTATGCTATATTAAACCTACATCAGACACACCCCTCCCAAACACTTACCTGTGCTGTTGTTCTCGGCTAGCCAATAGTTCCTGTAGTTGATGGATTTGACCCTTCTGTTTCTCGCTGGTTATCTTCAACATCTCTAGCTCTCGATTCAAGGCAGAGGCTCGCATCTGTGCATCATGAGCCTTTTTTTGCTGTAGGCAAAAAATGATAAAATCACTGAAGATCTTTACACTTAAAATGATAAAGACTCACAGAAATGAAATATTGACGAAAATTTTTTGAAAATTTTAAGACATGGAAAAGTAATTTGTTTTTAAAGTGAATCAAAACAGACTTCACTTGTAAACCAACTTACTTTCATTCATTTCAGCAATATGTTTGCATAGAGTTGCTGTCACTTAAGTGTAATTAACTTTCAAATACATGAAGTGTCCCCATGTTTTTGCTTAGATAGCAATGTGAGGATCGATCACAGTTAATGTGAAGATCGATCACAGCTAATGTGAAGGTTAATCTCAGTTAATGTGGAGGTCAATCACAGTTAATGTGAAGATCGATCACAGCTAATGTGAAGGTCAATCTCAGTTAATGTGAAGGTCAATCACAGTTAATGTGAAGATCGATCACAGTTAATGTGATGATCGATCACAGTAAATGTGAAGATCGATCACAGTTATTGTGAAGATCGATCACAGTTAATGTGAAGATCGATCACAGTTAATGTGATGATCGATCACAGTAAATGTGAAGATCGATCACAGTTAATGTGAAGGTCAATCACAGTTAATGTGAAGATGGATCACAGTTAATGTGAAGATCGATCACAGTTAATGTGAAGATCGATCACAGTTAATGTGATGATCGATCACAGTAAATGTGAAGATCGATCACAGTTAATGTGAAGGTCAATCACAGTTAATGTGAAGATCGATCACAGTTATTCAAAGAAGCCTGTATGGCTTCATACAACGATGACCCAGTGTTAGAATTCACGAAAGGACAGGACAGGGATCAGGGACCAGGGATCAGGACAGAAAGGATGGGACAGGACAGGATTGAAAGAAGGTCATTAGGGGACAAGACAAGAAAAGGATCACCAATATATGTACTAATAATTCTAACCAAGTCTGAAATATTTCAAATGAAAATTAAACAAATTATGCTCAAAATTTAATTTTCCTATATCACTAATTTTGATAAAACACCTTAAGACCCCTCCATCTATAAGGAGCATTAGATTCTACCACATATAGGTGTAGAGAAAATGATTTTTAAACTTTAAGACAATTTGATCCCTTAATCCCCCTTCCCCATCAGGCCCTGGAGACTGCATGGGGACAATGCAATTCACAATTTTTTAAACTGGTGCGGGAGATAAAATTTTAAGTCCATAATGTAAAAAGTAACAGATGCACAATGTCATAAAAGGCGGTTGCAATGAGGTCTAAAGATTTTATGTGAATTTATTCAAATATAACAAATTTCTAAAAGACACTACTTTATCATGTCTATAATGAAAGGCTTTGCCAGATCAGATAATTTGATAAAGCTTTCTAAGGTTTGATGAGACAACATCTGAAACAAGAATGTCATCCACAAACATGTAACAGATGAACATAACAGCAATTGATGAGTAAAGATGTCCAAAAACAGCACAACATCACAGTTAAACAAACATATCATCGTCTTACTGATAATGTGTGAGCAATCAAACATTGGATTCATTATTGCATGGTCTTAATTGACTGCAGAAACTGCTGTGATTATTCTACCTGATGTAATAACAAACAGATTTCAATATGTTATAGAGCTCTTATCAGTGTCTTATAAAGTGTCTGTCAGGTTTATACAAAGCGACTCTGCCAATTTAATGGCATGAACAATTTCCCTGTATCTTGTCCAGCTATTTCAGGAATATCAATTTTCTCTTTGAAAGAGAATTTTGAAAAGCATATCAAAGAGATAAAACCTGAGAGCAGAATTAAGATGTCTGTTATCCAGTCTAGCTTTAGGAGGAACTTAATAACACATTTTAAAACTGTTTTCTCAGCAGTTCCTTCACCACTTTTTTATGATTGATTTCATTGATTCAGTCAACACCCTACTATCACTTTCAAATCAGTATCTGTCTTTTCATTTAATTGCAATTTATTTTTCTATGTGGCTGTTTTGATCTGTCCTGTTTTCTGTATTCCTTGTTTAAATCTGTCAAGTTTTCTTTTTTCTTGTTCTGATCTGTTGGTTTAATTGTCTGTGTTCCTGTTCTGATCTGTTGGTTTAATTGTCTGTGTTCCTGTTCTGATCTGTTGGTTTAATTGTCTGTGTTCCTGTTCTGATGTGTTGGTTTAATTGTCTGTGTTCCTGTTCTGATCTGTTGGTTTAATTGTCTGTGTTCCTGTTCTGATCTGTTGGTTTAATTGTCTGTGTTCCTGATCTGATCTGTTGGTTTAATTGTCTGTGTTCCTGATCTGATCTGTTGGTTTGTCTGTGTTCCTGTTCTGATCTGTTGGTTTAATTGTCTGTGTTCCTGTTCTGATCTGTTGGTTTAATTGTCTGTGTTCCTGTTCTGATCTGTTGGTTTAATTGTCTGTGTTCCTGTTCTGATCTGTTGGTTTAATTGTCTGTGTTCCTGTTCTGATCTGTTGGTTTAATTGTCTGTGTTCCTGTTCTGATCTGTTGGTTTAATTGTCTGTGTTCCTGTTCTGATCTGTTGGTTTAATTGTGTTCCTGTTCTGATCTGTGTTCCTGTTCTGATCTGTTGGTTTAATTGTCTGTGTTCCTGTTCTGATCTGTTGGTTTAATTGTCTGTGTTCCTGTTCTGATCTGTTGGTTTAATTGTCTGTGTTCCTGTTCTGATGTGTTGGTTTAATTGTCTGTGTTCCTGTTCTGATCTGTTGGTTTAATTGTCTGGGTTCCTGATCTGATCTGTTGTTCTGATGTGTTGGTTTAATTGTCTGGGTTCCTGATCTGATCTGTTGGTTTAATTGTCTGTGTTCCTGTTCTGATCTGTTGGTTTAATTGTCTGTGTTCCTGTTCTGATCTGTTGGTTTAATTGTCTGTGTTCCTGTTCTGATGTGTTGGTTTAATTGTCTGTGTTCCTGTTCTGATCTGTTGGTTTAATTGTCTGTGTTCCTGTTCTGATCTGTTGGTTTAATTGTCTGTTCCTGTTCTGTTGGTTTAATTGTCTGTGTTCCTGTTCTGATTGTTTAATTGTCTGTGTTCCTGTTCTGAATTGTCTGTGTTCCTGTTCTGTTGGTTTATGTGTTTCCTGTTCTGAGTTGTAATTGTCTGTGTTCCTGTTCTGATCTGTTGGTTTAATTGTCTGTGATCGTGTTCCTGTTCTGATGTGTTGGTTTAATTGTCTGTGTTCCTGTTCTGATGTGTTGGTTTAATTGTCTGTGTTCCTGTTCTGATGTGTTGGTTTTATTGTCTGTGTTCCTGTTCTGATGTGTTAGTTTAATTGTCTGTGTTCCTGTTCTGATCTGTTGGTTTAATTGTCTGTGTTCCTGTTCTGATCTGATCTGTTGGTTTAATTGTCTGTGTTCCTGTTCTGATCTGTTGGTTTAATTGTCTGTGTTCCTGTTCAGATCTGTTGGTTTAATTGTCTGTGTTCCTGTTCTGATGTGTTGGTTTAATTGTCTGTGTTCCTGTTCTGATCTGTTGGTTTAATTGTCTGTGTTCCTGTTCTGATGTGTTGGTTTAATTGTCTGTGTTCCTGTTCTGATCTGTTGGTTTAATTGTCTGTGTTCCTGTTCTGATCTGTTGGTTTAATTGTCTGTGTTCCTGTTCTGATCTGTTGGTTTAATTGTCTGTGTTCCTGTTCTGATCTGTTGGTTTAATTGTCTGTGTTCCTGTTCTGATCTGTTGGTTTAATTGTCTGTGTTCCTGTTCTGATCTGTTGGTTTAATTGTCTGTGTTCCTGTCTGATCTGTTGGTTTAATTGTCTGTGTTGTTCTGATCTGTCTGTTGGTTTAATTGTCTGTGTTCCTGTTCTGATCTGTTGGTTTAAGTCTGTGTTCCTGATCTGATGTGTGTTCCTGATCTGTTGGTTTAATTGTCTGGGTTCCTGATCTGATCTGTTGGTTTAATTGTCTGTGTTCCTGTTCTGATCTGTTGGTTTAATTGTCTGTTCCTGATCTCATCTGTTGGTTTAATTGTCTGTTCCTGTTCTGATCTGATCTGGGTTTTTTTTTCTTATTTCTTCTGTGTTCCTTGTTTCCATCCATTCCTCCCCTCCCCCTTTGATTTGTTGGTGGTTTTTTCTGTATTTGTTGGTTTGTCAGTGTTTCTGTTTTGATCTGTTGTTTTTCTGTGTTCCCTGTTTTTCCGTTTTTTTTTTTTAAATAAATTTCTGTGTTCCTTGTTTCCATCCATTTTCCATCCCCTCCCCCTTTGATTTGTTGGTGGGTTCTTTTGCTGTTCTTGTTTTTATCCTCTGAATATTTTTTCTGAGTCCCCTGTTTTTATATCCACATGTTTATTTTCTGAGTCCCCTGTTTTTATATCCACTTGTTTATTTTCTGAGTCCCCTGTTTTTATATCCACATGTTTATTTTCTGAGTCCCCTGTTTTTATATCCACATGTTTATTTTCTGAGTCCCCTGTTTTTATATCCACATGTTTATTTTCTGAGTCCCCTGTTTTTATATCCACTTGTTTATTTTCTGAGTCCCCTGTTTTTATATCCACATGTTTATTTTCTGAGTCCCCTGTTTTTATATCCACATGTTTATTTTCTGAGTCCCCTGTTTTTATCTCCACTTGTTTATTTTCTGAGTCCCCTGTTTTTATCTCCACATGTTTATTTTCTGAGTCCCCTGTTTTTATCTCCACATGTTTATTTTCTGAGTCCCCTGTTTTTAATATCCACATGTTTATTTTCTGAGTCCCCTGTTTTTATATCCACATGTTTATTTTCTGAGTCCCCTGTTTTTGCCTGTTGGTTTGTTAGGGTTTCCTTTCAAAGTAAACTTTGATGAGTCCTACAGATTATCATCATGAAATAAATACATTGATGATGAAAGTTGATGATGAAATTCAGAAACTCATTGTCATTTCATGACTTCTGTCATATATACAGCCATCTTCCTTTAGACTTTTTGGTTACATTGCAAAAAATCGGAACATATGACCCTTCATAGTATGATATATCCAGGTATTTAAACCATATTGTACACCAACATTCCAGAAAATAAGACCACATTCCAACCGTGTTATTTATGCTTGATATGCTTTGATGTTATTTTATGTGCACAAATCTCCTGATCTGACAATTTATGTTGGTGAAGGAATCAACGAAAAATCATACAATTAATGATCATGAAATCTGGAAATGTCGGAAATCGCCATTAATCAAATATGTTTCTCCACCATAAAGTATGTAACAGCCAATAAATAGCAAAGACAGCATTAAAATCACAGACAAACAGAGTAAATCTGCCTAGGAGGAAATTGGATTACCCAGTCATGATCAATCGTAATCGTAGAAGCAGTCGTGAAAGATTGACGTAACAGCTGGGCTGCCTCACTTATATCTACTTAAATGTTTTACTGTAGCCATGACAAAACAACCATCAGTCATGGTGACCAACGGACATTAAGTCTTCCCTGATATCACAATCAAACATTATCAACTATTATATCGTCTCTGTGAGAAATGACCATCACCAGACATTGTGTCTGAAGTCACATGAACGTTTGTTACCTATACAGACATAGGCCTGTGACAGATGTATGTCCTGACTGGGATTGTGGGTTATCTGCATTCAGAAATTTCATGAAACAGATGAAAGCTAAAGCAAACACTAGCTTGCACTCAGTAAACAAGAGACCCATAAGGCCTGTATTGCTCACATGGATATTAAAGCCCAGCATATAGTTGCATATAGCTGGGTATTTTCAATATTTCCAAATAAAGCTCAGTCATTTAACCTCTTTGATGAGACAAGACCAATGGATAAATTTTTATATCATGACTGTCTTTCTCTTCTGATGCCCAGTTTGAGTTTATATGATTATCAGGTTGGTATCTCAACCATGTCAAAAATATGACCCAGAAATGTGTTCCTAAATGTGTGCCACACCTTCTTACATAACATATGCTGTTATTTCTTGATGCTAAGTAATTCTATATATGTTTTTTTGGGGAGGATTTTAAATGTTTCAAAGATATAAACCAACAGAAATGATGTCTCAAGAGGTGGGGCCAGCCCCAGGGCCAATTCTTACAATCATGATTGTGTTCAACTCTTGATCCCCAACATTGCTATATATGGTTATGGGGTGGGGATTTCAAGTTTCAAAAATATAACATGGAAAATAAGTCCCTAGGAGAGGGGCCAGACCCAAGGGATAATTCTTATATTATATTTGTGTTTATCTTTTGATGCTTAGCAATGCTATATACGGCTATGGGATGAGGATCTCAACAGTTTCAAGAATATAACCAAGAAGTTGAGTCCAGAGAGGTCGAGCCACACAAGGGCTACTTTTTACATCATAAAGGTGTTTCTCTTGACACCCATACGCGATGTAACAAGGAAACAAAATCCAATCATTCCCTTAAAGAAGAGTGAGTAGAATTTTAAAGAATAAACTTTATTTCCCCTATTGGGCCCCACTCCTCCGGCCAAAGGGAGCCAAGACCAACCCAAGAAAATTTATCCCTCTTTACACAAACATGTCTATGACCAAATTTGGGCAAAATCCAAATATTTCTACTGGTGGAGTAGGAAAAATAAGAATTAGCTCAAACCATTTATACAAAATTTGTTCCTCTTCCCAAAGGATACTTCTGACCAACTTTGGTCAAAATCCACTCTGTCATTCATGACAGGTAGCATTTTGTAGAAAAAGTTAACCGACGACAAATGCAGCTATCTCCCTATATCTCACTTGGCCCTTCATACAAAGGTCAAAGATAAATATATAGATCATCAAGGGTCACAGTTCAAATAAGTAATCAATATTTATCAGTATTGTACACTGTTAATTTGCCTACATTATTTCAATGTAAAGCTATACCAAAGGTCACCAGAGGTCACCCGCCAAACAAGTCATTGATTAATTTAATTAAATTTAATATTTGATATTACAGATATTAATGGATTGATCATATTGCTAATTTATTTCCAAACGTCAATTTACAATTTCAAGTCCAGTTACAATTCTATGAGTTATGCTGACAATAAACAAAAGTGACTTGTTTGTTTCTGGTCAAATAGTAACATACCAGGTATAAAACAGTTATAAAAAGGATATGAATTTTCCTTTGTGTGGGTTCTAACTACAAAGAAACATTCAATGACACAAATGTTATCAACAGAATTCTATTTGGTAGGGCCTCAAACAGCAAATCTATAGATTTTAATGAAGAGAACAAAACTTACATTTAACCAATTAAAATCCAACCACTTACTACAATGATCCCAAATCTTTTATCAAACTCTTCACCTTCATAATGTGCAAGTACAAGCAAGATATCAATTCAAAATGATTTTTCAAGTTATTCATAACTAATTTATTGATAATTGATCTGGTGACCATATTATACATCTGATGAACAAGAAATCAACACCATTTGTAAAACGTCATCTTCTGATCATTCCCAGAAATTTTCATCAATATCTTTCCTATATAGTTTTTGAGTTATTAGTTCAAAAAAAATTAAAAAAGAAAGCAGTGATAGCGGCCATCTTGAATTTTATTTTCACTTGAAATATGATAGAATATGATCAGTACTGATCATTCACATGAAATTCCATCAAAATCTGCCAAGAAAAGTTGACTGCATGACAGACACCAGATCGAGCCCCATAGCATAAAGCGCACTTGAGACTTTGGCTCAGGTGAACAAAGAACTGAAAGCTTGCATTATGCTACAGGAAAAATGGATTTAAAGGCAGTCCTGATCTTTTTTTTCCTTTAATCTTGAATGATATTCCCTCCTGGTAATTCTTGTGTTAAACAAATAATGCTGCAGTGTCTCTAATGACCTAGATGTATTACATCCCCAGCACACATTACAGATTCAACATTGCTTCCAATAACGAGATTTCCATTTAAAATTCCAACAATGTCATGCATTTTTAAAAGGCAATTTTGTGTTTTTAGCTAATCTTTATGAACCCACAAATGGTTGTAACAATGAGAATTTGAACATCTCTAAAACTACATAAACAGCTTTGTGTTGTTTGTAAGTTGTTCATGCTTTGATAATCAGGTGACTGCAGCCCTAGCAATAAATATACAACTAATCACCTCATGCGTCTGTTGATGCAGTTTTTCACGTTCCATTTTGGCGGTAACTTCCTCCAGGTTACGGAGACTCTTTTTCAGACTTTCTTCCGTTTCCTTGGCAACTGAAAGCTGTCTAGACTCTTCCTGTAAATGAATCTGAAAGAAGCAGTGATAATATTTAATCAAAGTACTGAAATTACTAAGAGGCTAACTTAAAACATGTTGATGATATATGTATATATATTGTAACTGTAAATGTGTGGTATTACCCATCACATCAAAATCAAACACTTTTACAGAAGATGACTATTTACAGCCAAATTTGAAACTTTCAATAAAGGACCTTTCGCACTATTCAGTATAATTAAGGCAAAGTGTACAATTTCCGGAAACAATTTAAAGTTCCATATCAAGAGATTGCCAGTGGCATTGGTATCGGATATTGAACCCAGAACATTAAAACATATTATTAAGGGTTTATTAGGTAACCATAAAAAAACCTGTATCATGTCCATAGATGGGTAGTGCAAAAATTAGATTGCTAAAGGATTTTTTCTTCTTTTTTTTTTCTTCTTTCTTTCTTTTTCAGAAAGATAAAAGATTCAGTGAGGCCGCAATAATTGATTATTGGGATCATCTGGTATGCAAGACAAGATTTGAAATTAAAAAATGTTACTGTATATATTAATGTAAACTACCCAAGTCAACGTCATCTAAAATCAGGACAAAGTGTTGTCATAGCAACTAGCAAGACAGGATTACTGATGAGTAAAGACAGTGACTTACGTGGACAACTGAAATATATGTTGGTTATCGTTAAGAACTGACAGGTTTCATTCTATTCTCCTTAACATAGGTTATCACAATGAAGAAGTTATGAACACATGTCTGCTTGTGTATTGACGGATGTTGGCATTGACAGATTTCTAACTACAGATCTATTATCATCTAAAACAGGCCTCATTGGTGTTTATAAGGTATATCTAGGAGTTATACAATTACTTATTTGTCATAATAGGGATGGTCCTTGCACAACTATTTTAAATGTGAGGAGAAACACTGTTACTCTATAACAATATTCACATGTCGACATTCCATTCTCTGCATACCAATTGCTTGCAATACAAAGTTGGGGCCTTGGTTGTGTCAGCAGGCATTCCCACAATGTGAAAGACATGAAAGAAATCTTCACGCACAAGGATCTTAACTACCTGGTTTGGTAATGAATGATATTATTAGGGCTGATTGATAAGTTGTGAGCATTGCATTGAAAAAGTTAAGCAGGGATGTCCTTTTCCAGCTCTATTCATGTCGAAGAGGTAACACTCTGATAAATCAAGGCAAGTGACTTTTGCAAAAAGTACAAAATCACTGAAAGAGTAGTGATTCATTATTCACACAAGAAACAAGAAAAGTCTAGCACCTAAGGATACCCATAATGATATGGTAGCAACACTAGGGATGATGCCCCATCATAGGCTACAGAAAAAAGGTGGGTGGCAGAATTTAAGCATCTGCCTTATTTGCCTGATCTCACTCCATAAGACTTTCATCTATTTCCAAAACTGAAAAAGTCCATTTCTGGTACCCACTTTTGGTCAGAAGATGATGTTATACATGCAAGTGGAGAACTTTCTGAACGGTCAAGAAAAGAACTTCTTTAAAAGTGGCATCAAAGTTACAAACTAAAGATTAGGTTGAAAATAATGCAATATGTCCGCCAAAAGTCAAACCCTTAAATATGAGGCTCACAGCTTATCAATCAGCCTTTGTATGTGACGTGAAATATCAAACCAGAGACACTTTGTGTTAATATATGTCTGATAGAAATCATGTAACACTACTAGGATGAGCTCTTTCTTGTAACAACAAGATAATGATGCTCCGCTGATCGCGAGATACACAGCTTCGTATTGTCAGCAATCAAGGGAAATCCATGTCTCCTATCTCACCTAATTTTACAAATATCACCATGAAATTTGATACCAGGATGAATTCTAATCATATTAACATTATATCTCATGCTTATTCCGTGTGTGATTAGATGCTTTATAATTACCTAATGTTACTTTATTAAACGTACCAGCATATGCCAAGCTGTCGATCATGCTCAAGTAAAATTGTCATAAATCTTTTTTTAATACATGAAAATGAAACTTCAAACATTAAAGTATCACATTTGTATTAAGTATATATATCTTTTTATGTCACTCACTTTATTGAGTATTGTAAGATATATTCAATTCAAACAGCAAATCATTTTAATCAGTTTTTCTCAAATGTAGCTGCCTCTTTAGTTGAAAAGTTGCCCCTGGGAAAGGGAAAGTTCGTTGCTTCATCAGAATGAAAGAGAAGCTGTAACAAATTTCATTTAAAACATGTTGATGAAAATTTTTTATTTAAAGAATTATTTAAATTAAACACATCCAAGAGTACAGGACTGGATGGATTACCAGCTAGGTTTCTTAAAGATGCTGCCTCAATCATTAAAATCCATCTCACCTTTCTGATCAACATGTCTATTTCGGAGGGTGTTGTTCCCAATGAATTAAAAATAGCTAAGGTTAAACCACTTTATAAGAAGAAAGATAGACTAAATGCTGAAAACTATCGTCCTGTTAATATTCTAAGTATTGTATCTAAAATTCTAGAACGTGCTGTATATAGCCAGTTAGAGACATTCCTAGTCAGAAATAACTTACTGTATAAATTCCAGTCAGGATTCAGAAGCGAATACTCAACAGATACGTGTTTAATACATCTGATTGATCATATTAAGTCTCAGAATGCTAAAGGTCTTTTTACAGGTATGGTTTTACTTGATTTGCAGAAAGCATTTGATACGGTAGACCATAAAATCTTATGTGACAAACTCTCTGTTCTTGGTGTAAAATCGCTAGACTGGTTTCAGTCTTATCTCACTGGAAGGAAACAAATTGTGAATGTAAACTGAACAGTTTCAGAGTCTTGTATCATAGGTTGCGGTGTACCCCAAGGCAGTTTGCTAGGGCCTTTACTATTTCTGATATATGTAAATGACATGCAAGTGTGTATTAATCCAAGCTGCAAGATAATATTGTATGCTGACGACTCTGCAATATTATTCTCCAACAGAGACCCAGCAGTTATTTCTCAAACTTTGTCTTTGATGTTGAAGTCCTGTCAAGATTGGTTAGTAGATAACAAACTTTCATTGCATTTAGGTCAAACAGAAAGCATTCTATTTGGTCCAAAAAGGAAATTAGATCCAGTGGCAAAAAATTCGGATTTTAAAATTGTGTGTAATAATCATGTAATTGAAGTCAAAAGATGTGTGAAATATCTTGGCATAGACGTCAACGATTCATTATCAGGTGAAGAAATTGTAGATTCAATCGTCAAAAAGGTCAACCAACGTCTCAAAGGGCCTGTTTCCAGTAATGTTAATTCTCCATAGGAGCCTGCCCCTGTATAATTTCTTATCTAGCTCAACTACTGTTTTTTTCTTTTCCGAAAAATAATTTTACACCTTTCCAACACCCAGATTTCATAATTTCAGTGAAAATGTATTTTTATAAAGTTGTCAATTTCAGCATCAAAGACATAAGTTCGTAAATAAAAGAAGGTTATCTCGAAATTGTAATTCGCAACATAGTATAAATTTCTTTTGATAAATATTTCCAAAACATCGTGTTTATTCATAAAACATAAAAAAAAATATTCTCAGATGAAAATGCACTTGCAGAGACACAATTATGAAGAAAAATGCCATAAATTTGCAATTTTCTCCTGTTATATAGTTTTGGATGCAAATTTCCATCAGAAAATCGGATAGAGCTTTACTTGTTTCATATGTGTACCAAAAATCAGCTAATTCCATGTGGTGGAACGTTCTCATATCGCCGCCTGAATGTGGTTGTAAATTGAAAGAAAAGGGGAAATTAGTAACAACCTTGTCTGAAACCCTATTATATAGCTTATTATATACAAACTTTTATATTGAATATCAGAGCGGATATTTTCATGATAGTTTTATGATGTGTAAAAAAAAAAAAAAAATAAAGTACTGTTTCCCCGTCTCGATCTTGATTTCTTGAGAACCATTACGTGTGGAACGTATCAGATATCTCTGGCTCCTGGTTACATCGCCGAACATTTGAGTGATGACGGCGACTATGAGGTGTGGCTTTACCAGCACTCCCCAGACCATCTCCGATGTCAAATACATTCTCGAAACAAAAGCCAAACGAAATATAACGTTTGGATACGGTTTACTGTTTCACCTGATGTTGAGGCCCCAATAAAGGACTACTACTGCCAGTGCCCAGTTGGAGAGAGAACGATGGGAAAGTGTGCGCACATCTCCAGTATCTTGTACTACCTTGGGTATTACACGACGCTGGAAAACCCTCGACCATTACAACCACAGGTAAAGAAATTCCGACAAAACTTGAAATAGTTTTCCATGCGGCAACAGAGTGCATATGTCGAAAGTATGTTTGGGGCTCGATATGAAAGATCCCCGTTACCATGTGACTAACCAAACTTATAAATATAGGTATTATACAATCGCCGGTAGCTATGAACAATCCCGTAAATGCGAAAACCAACCAAAATCATAAGGAACACGTTTTGTTTGTTGTTCTGTCTATTTGTCAGCCAATGTCTTCAACCACGGGGACTTGCGAAGTAGCCATCTTGGATTTTTTATGAAAAAGTGTTTCTCTCATTTTTTTTCATATCTGTGTACATATTCTCAACATACCGAGCAAATACTCTCGTTTTTTTGTTAATCATCTAAATAAAGTCGAAAATCGGCAATTCAACCATAGGCTAATTCAACCCAACATTTGAAGATGTTCCACCACTTACATTTTGATGATTTTTCCTCTCATCAATAGCATATTACGTACTATTTAATAGGATAAAAATTGGTTTACATCCAACGCCCTTAAAAGGGTGTATTCTCTAAAAAACACAGTTTTTGTGTCTAAAATGTTATCATCGAAAATGGCATTTTTGAGATTGTTTCTTCCATAAAACAGCCAAATGGCGCGATGGAAACATGATTTTTTGTCACAATCATGCCATGAATGTATTCTTTACGGTGACTATCATTTGATTAGATTCATTAATATTTTACATAACATGCACATTTTATCAACACTTAGACAGCTTCTGAGAGGTACAACTTTGAGGAGAGCCATAAAAAACAAACCAAGTGACCTAAATCTTTATACTTTATAGATTTGTGACCACAACGGCATGGGCAATGCACCACCAACAGGAAATTTGAATCAGAGAAGGGGCCGTTTTGGAAACCGGCCCTTTTTGTATAGAAATGAACAGTGTTTATCTTTTAGGTCAAGAAAAACTCTATGTTCTTCTTTGATTTTATGTCACTTTGACTACGCATGTACTAGTTAGTCGAAGGTTTATCGAAAAAACTAAAAAAGAATTTACAAGTAGCACAAAACAAAGTAATTAGATTTATTTTGAATGTTCACAATAGGAAGTCTGACACATAATGATTTTCTTCGGGTAAACATGCTTGATGTTGTTTCAAGAGTAAGTCAGCTCAGAACGAATCATATGTTTAATATTTTCCATGAAAAAGCTCCGAATTATATGTATGCATCTTTTGAAAAAATCCATGTCTGCAAAATACTCGTTCATCAACATATAATTTTGCTCTGCCAATGATTCATGGAGCTGAATATACATCCTTTTGTTTTGTCGGAGCTAAAGAATGGAATCTACTTCCAGAAAATATAAAAACAATACCCAAAAAAGTTAGATTCAAATCTCAGGAAAAACGTCACTTTCAAGACAAAATGAAAGAGAAACATAACAGTGATTATATTTACTATTGAGACAGATAATGTTTTTTTTTATCTACATTTTGAAGGACCCCAACGGAAATAAGCGTATATTATTACGCTTTTTGGGCTATCCTTGGATAGATTTGTTTAACATATATCAGCTGTCTTTATTGTGATTTAATGTTCCGGTGTTGCATGTTTTATTTATGTCAATTTTTCACCTTATGTACTATGTAACATGTATTTTATTATCATGCTTTGTATACATTTGTACAAATCTTTCCTGAATTTTATTATTATTATTATTATATTCACTGCCCTTAAGTGTGATATCTAATTTGCACTTGTGCTACTGGCCATCAAGGAAAAATTATCTTTCCATTACTCAACAAAATTTACAAATATATAAGAAAAGGTTTACTATGATCGTATCTATCATGTCACTAACTACATTATTTTACATATTTTTGAAGAGTATTTACAGCTTTTACTGTCGCTTATTGTCACAAATAGAATAAATGTCAGTGATCCCATAATCCTGTGTGTTCTGCCATCTTGTCCAGCCTCCTAGGATTAACTTTGAACCGGGACAATATTAGTTTTGAATTGACATAAATCTCTATCTGAATGATATCAAGAATAAATGGCCCGTCACTTTTGTTAAGTTTTGTTAAAGACTAGATAGATAACAGATGGATGGTCTACAGACACATGGTCTACAGACACATATGTCTACACATGGTCCACACATGGTCTACAGACACATGTGTCTACACATGGTCCACAGACACATGGTCTACAGACACATATGTCTACACATGGTCCACACACATGGTCTACAGACACATGTGTCTACACATGGTCTACAGACACATGGTCTACAGACACATATGTCTACACATGGTCCACACACATGGTCTACAGACACATGTGTCTACACATGGTCCACAGACACATGGTCCACAGACACATGGTCCACAGACACATGATCCAAAGACACATGGTCTACAGACACGTGGTCTACAAACACAAGTTCCACAGACACATGGTCCACAGACACATGGTCCACAGACACATGGTCTACAGACACATGTGTCTACACATGGTCCACAGACACATGGTCTACAGACACATGGTCCACAGACACATAGTCTGCAGACACATATGTCTACACATGGTCCACAGACACATGATCCAAAGACACATGGTCTACAGACACGTGGTCTACAAACACAAGTTCCACAGACACATGGTCCACAGACACATGGTCTACAGACACATGGTCCACAGACACATGGTCTGCAGACACATATGTCTACACATGGTCCACAGACACATGGTCCACAGACACATGGTCTACAGACACATGTGTCTACACAAGGTCCAGACACAAGGTCCACAGACACATGGTCCACAGACACATGGTCCACAGACACATGTGTCTACACATGGTCCACAGACACATGGTCCACAGACACATGGTCTACAGACACATGTGTCTACACATGGTCCACAGACACATGATCCAAAGACACATGGTCTACAGACACGTGGTCTACAAACACAAGTTCCACAGACACATGGTCCACAGACACATGGTCTACAGACACATGGTCCACAGACACATGGTCTGCAGACACATATGTCTACACATGGTCCACAGACACATGGTCCACAGACACATGGTCTACAGACACATGTGTCTACACAAGGTCCAGACACAAGGTCCACAGACACATGGTCCACAGACACATGGTCCACAGACACATGTGTCTACACATGGTCCACAGACACATGGTCCACAGACACATGGTCTACAGACACATGTGTCTACACATGGTCCACAGACACATGGTCTACAGACACATGTGTCTACACATGGCCCACAGACACATGGTCCACAGACACATGTGTCTACACAAGGTCCACAGACACAAGGTCCACAGACACATGCTCCACAGACACATGTGTCTACACATGGTCCACAGACACATGGTCTACAGACACATGTGTCTACACAAGGTCCACAGACACAAGGTCCACAGACACATGCTCCACAGACACATGTGTCTACACATGGTCCACAGACACATAATCCACAGACACATGGTCCACAGACACATGGTCTACAGACACATAGTCTACAGACACATGGTCTACAGACACCCAATCAACAGACACATTGTCTACAGACACCCAATCAACAGACACATAGTCTAAAGACACCTAATCAACAGACACATGGTCCACAGACACCCAATCAACAGACACATAGTCTAAAGACACCCAATCAACAGACACATAGTCTATAGACACATGGTCTACAACCACCCAATCAACAGACACATGGTCTACAGACACCCAATCAACAGACACATGGTCCACAGAAACACAATCAACAGATACATGGTCTATAGACAGATGGTCCATAGACAGATGGTCCATAGACAGATGGTCTACAACCACCCAATCAATAGACACATAGTCTACAGACACCCAGTCAATAGACACAAGGTCCACAGACACCCAGTCAATAGACACATAGTCTACAGACACCCAATCAACAGACACATGGCCCACAAACACCTAATCAACAGACAGATGGTCCGTAAACACATGGCCCTCAGACAGATAATGAAATGCTTACACTTGAACCAACTGATTTATGTTAACTGAAGGAATCTGGACACTTTGCCTGACATTCAACACTGACTGGTGAATCCTAACAAGCATATTACCATATAATTATATAATGAAATTGCTAAACTGACCTTTGTCCTGTCAAGGTCATCTTGTAGCCTCAGTTTTGCCTCCCTTTCATTGGTGAGAGCTTGCTTGAGTCGTGTTGTGGCCTCGATAGCAGTGTCCTTCAGCTGGTCACCATCTTTGGCTGTAAAAAAAACCATGAAATACTTTTAACCATTTTTGAATCACCTGCTAACCTGTAAAGGCCTTCTTGTAATTTAGTCAACAAGAGGATTAAGGTCTTCATCTAACACATGGTTTAAATTGGTGCTAATTGTTTTTATACAAAGTGAAGGAAAAAAAAGATTTTGAATGCTTATACCTTACATTCCCTATTCCAAAAATCTTTGGTCAAAAAATCCCAACAGTCTTAAAGCAGGAGGATTTTACAGACTGATTTTGCCTATTAGTGTACTGCTCTTATGCACTCCTGTGGCTCTAACCTTCTGTTTATACAAAATTGATTCCACCATCGAAAGTTGCTCTGGAGTAAAATTGCATGGTCAAAATGCTTTCATCCCTACAGAAAAAAGAACTTTTGCTTCTTTTCCCCCCTAATGAGCTCCTTCCCCCTAAAGGGGTTTAGCCCATGTCTTATACAAAATTGAGTCCCCTATCTCAAAGGATGTGCTCAATCAATTCTGGACAAAACCTTGTCATTCAAACTGAGAAAAAAAGAAATGTGGAATAACAAGCTAATTTTTCCTAATTGGGTCCAACTCCACTAGTCATTGATGACCCAGAACCACCATTTAAGAAAATAGGTTTCCGTTTCCCAAAAAATGCTTTTGACCAAATTTTGACAAAGTTAATAATGATGTACTGCTTTACCAATGCATATACTCAAAGGTTCTTTGGATTATTAAAAAATCCATGTTACCTTCTTACAATGTATTCCGGGCTGTTTTTATTCTAAAACAACCTTTGGACTTGTATTGAGCGTTTCAATCGTAATGACCTTTTATCTAGTCATGACCTACCACCTTTAACTTGTAATGACCCTTTAACTTGGCAGGACTTAAAACCTTTAACTTGCGTTGACCATTTAACTTGTCATGACCTAAAATCTTTAACTAATCTGAATTTTTTATTTGTAATGAAATTTACCTTTGGAACTTCTTTTCTGCATTTAATTCAAATTTTACTCAATTAAATGTACAGCCCATTCCTAGTAAGTTTCTCCAGTAAATCAGGTTTTGTATATGTCCCACTTAATGCAGAATGAATACAGAGTCTACATGAAGCTCATGTAATGCAATTTACAAATCTGAGCACCCAGTGATTTTTTTTTTCTTTCTCTTGTCAAAATCAATTCTTTGGTATCTAATCTATACTGAGAGTTTTTCAATACAGACCCTGACCTTTCAACTCTCCATACCTTATATTGAATCATTACACACAAAGGAGCAGTGCGTGATACAAAAAGGAATGCCAACTTATATATTAGCTTGAAATTACCCTTCTGGTCACTGGCGGCCAGGCAATGGTCAGAACAAACTAAATAAGCTCTGATACAAACAATCTTTTTGTTGACCATGTCACAAACCAATCAAAAACTTCATGATTTGCTACAAGAAGTAGAACTTTGACTGCCATTCTGTGTGCCAATAGGGCTATAAATAACTTCCGTGATCACGCATCATCACTACTAACATTAAGATTAAGTACAAACAGCCAACAGGGGTTCTCTTTTCAACTTAACATAGTATATGATGCTGGACATCATAGCCTTTAGACTGATAAGTACTATTTCTTGTTTCACCTGACCTAGCTCAAAATTGAAAACAAAATAGATTTAGATTTAGTTACAATAAATCAATCTTACAATGACATTCAAAACACAACAAATTTCATTCTACTGGAAATATACATAATTACTTCATGAAATTTATAGTTATTGACACATGACATTATATCTACTGGAGGGATACAGACTACTGTTATATCTACTTTAGGGATACAGACTGTACTGTTATATCTACTGAAGGGATACAGACTGTACTGTTATATCTACTGGAGTGATACAGACTGTACTGTTATATCTACTTGAGGGATACAGACCATACTTTTATATCTACTGAAGGGATACAGACTGTACTGTTATATCTACTGGAGTGATACAGACTGTACTGTTACATCTACTGGAGGGATATAGACTGTACCGTTACATCTACTGGAGGGATATAGACTGTACTGTTTCATCTACTGGAGGGATACAAACTGTACTGTTATATCTACTTTAGGGATACAGACTGTACCGTTACATCTGCTGGAGGGATATAGACTGTACTGTTACATCTACTGGAGGGATATAGACTGTACCGTTATATCTACTGGAGGGATACAGACTGTACTGTTATATCTACTTTAGGGATACAGACTGTACTGTTTCATCTACTTGAGGGATACAGACTGTACCATTACATCTGCTGGAGGGATATAGACTGTACTGTTACATCTACTGGAGGGATATAGACTGTACCGTTATATCTACTGGAGGGATACAAACTGTACTGTTATATCTACTTTAGGGATACAGACTGTACCGTTACATCTGCTGGAGGGATACAGACCATACTGTTATATCTACTGGAGGGATATAGACTGTACCGTTATATCTACTGGAGGGATACAGACTGTACTGTTATATCTACTTTAGGGATACAGACTGTACTGTTATATCTACTGGAGGGATACAGACCATACTGTTATATCTAATGGAGGGATACAGACTGTACCGTTATATCTACTGGAGGGATACAGACTGTACTGTTGCATCTACTGGAAGGATACAGACTGTATCGTTATATCTACTGGGGGGATACAGACTGTACTGTTATATCTACTGGAGGGATACAGACTGTACCATTACATCTGCTGGAGGGATACAGACCATACTGTTATATCTACTGGAGGGATACAGACTGTACTGTTATATCTACTGGAGGGATACAGACTGTACTGTTATATCTACTGGAGGGATATAGACTGTACTGTTACATCTACTGGAGGGATATAGACTGTACCGTTATATCTACTGGAGGGATACAGACTGTACTGTTATATCTACTTTAGGGATACAGACTGTACTGTTATATCTACTGGAGGGATACAGACCATACTGTTATATCTACTGGAGGGATACAGACCATACTGTTATATCTACTGGAGTGATACAGACTGTACTGTTACATCTACTGGAGGGATACAGACTGTACTGTTATATCTACTGGAGGGATACAGACTGTACTGTTGCATCTACTGGAAGGATACAGACTGTATCGTTATATCTACTGGGGGGATACAGACTGTACTGTTATATCTACTGGAGGGATACAGACTGTACCATTACATCTGCTGGAGGGATACAGACCATACTGTTATATCTACTGGAGGGATACAGACTGTACTGTTATATCTACTGGAGGGATACAGACTGTACTGTTATATCTACTGGAGGGATATAGACTGTACTGTTACATCTACTGGAGGGATATAGACTGTACCGTTATATCTACTGGAGGGATACAGACTGTACTGTTATATCTACTTTAGGGATACAGACTGTACTGTTATATCTACTGGAGGGATACAGACCATACTGTTATATCTACTGGAGGGATACAGACCATACTGTTATATCTACTGGAGTGATACAGACTGTACTGTTACATCTACTGGAGGGATACAGACTGTACTGTTATATCTACTGGAGGGATATAGACTGTACTGTTACATCTACTGGAGGGATACAGACTGTACTGTTATATCTACTTTAGGGATACAGACTGTACTGTTACATCTACTGGAGGGATATAGACTGTACTGTTACATCTACTGGGGGGATACAGATTGTACTGTTATATCTACTGGAGAGATACAGACTGTATTGTTATCTCGACTGGAGGGATACAGACCAGACTGCTATATCTACTTGAGTGATACAGACCATACTGTTATATCTACAAGAGGGATATAGACTGTACTGTTACATCTACTGGAGGGATATAGACTGTACTGTTACATCTACTGGGGGGATACAGATTGTACTGTTATATCTACTGGAGAGATACAGACTGTATTGTTATCTCTACTGGAGGGATACAGACCAGACTGCTATATCTACTGGAGGGATACAGACTGTACTGTTATATCTACTGGAGGGATATAGACTGTACTGTTACATCTACTGGAGGGATACAGACTGTACTGTTATATCTACTTTAGGGATACAGACTGTACTGTTACATCTACTGGAGGGATATAGACTGTACTGTTACATCTACTGGGGGGATACAGATTGTACTGTTATATCTACTGGAGAGATACAGACTGTATTGTTATCTCGACTGGAGGGATACAGACCAGACTGCTATATCTACTTGAGTGATACAGACCATACTGTTATATCTACAAGAGGGATACAGACTGTACTGTTATATCTACAAGAGGGATACAGACTGTACTGTTATATCTACTGGAGTGATACAGACCATACTGTTATATCTACTGGGGGATACAGGTCTGTAGAGCCTTGTTATGGTCCACAGACAGATGCTTATCTTTTCTCGGTAGAAAGTTACACTGTAAAGACAGATACTTGCCTTTGGTCTGTAAAGACTTTCTACTGTAGAGACAGATTCTTACCTTTGGTCTGTTAAGACTTTCTACTATAAAGACAGAATCTTACCTTTGGTCTGTTAAGACTTTCTACTATAAAGACAGAATCTTACCTTTGGTCTGTAAAGACTTAATGTGGTCCACAAGTTTTTTGCTTGCTTGTTCAGCCTTCCATCTTCTCTCTCTTTCCTTTTCCAACTCTTTCATTAGTTGCTATTGAGACAAGCAAAAGTGTATTTGGTTATTAAGAGTAAAAGTGACATGGATCTTTATGGTGAGATATAATTCCAATTTCTTGATATCAGTCATGATGAATACTGTCAAATGAATGTAGTGTTTAAAATAGAGGAAGTCATATGAGCATCAATGTTGTATGGAATGTATCAAACATGTTCCATAATTTGTCATGTACCTATAAAGCATTATATATAAGTATAAATATTCAGCAATTAGTCAAGTCTTAATGATTACCTCAGTTACAATGCTGTTGTTGTTCTTGTAACATGTCATAAAAATAATCTTGTTTAAAATGTAATGCAAATGAGTGTATATTATTAACTGCCGTCCCATGCTAGGACTTCTTTTCAAATACGAATCATAAGAAATTACACTCGAAAATACAGTGAAACCTCACCTAACGACCACCTCGAAATTTGTATTGGTCACTTCAGTATTACGACCACCCCGCTATTCCATATTACGACCACTTCCTTAAGTCCCAACAACCACTAATTAACGATAATTGACCTCACAATTACGACCAATTTCTGACCAGTGATTAAAGTTGACCTGGTGGGCAGTGAACCGCGAGCATGTGTGTCGTTCTCGACCATTGTTTTCGTCATGGGTTACCGACCCTGTCACCAGGTGGCGGTACACGAAGTAAACATCATTATCGGATTAACTTGTGTGAAGCTGCAAGCCAGACACATTTTAATAGCGATCTATTGTTTGTTAATTATATATTGATAGATCGGTAGGTATGCTGTTCAATACCTTAAAAGCCCTGCATACCCAATGGTGAATTTTGTAGTCTTTTCAGCCGATATTACCTTGCTCGCACACACACACGTTGTCGAGGGTTTTTAACTGTTTTTGAAGCGATATTCCACTCTCAACATCGTTTGAACAATTAAAAAATATGTATATGTTCCAAATTTATTATGACATATTTTCACTGTCAAAAAACTTTATCAAGCAATGACGAAATCACGTAAACGAAACGAACTATCGCGATCGTTAAAAAGGACTTGCGGAAGAGAAGGCTGTCCAGATTTGTAGCTCTTCGCAAAAATTAACTTAAAATTGACTGTTTGTTTTCTTTTATTCAATGGTTACAATAGTAAATATACATGTATATTATGATATAAACTAAGAAATATATACATGCAAATTCTTTTGTCAATTCATCAATTTTATGTTTTTACATGCATTTGATAAAATTTAACATTTTATAAATAGTTTAGTTATTATGTTGAATAATATACATGCTCATTACTTAATGATATATACATGTATAGTCATTATTTCAAGCGGAGTTACGGTTCTTTGCAGTCAATCTGATCCACCTCACTATTAAGACCACCTCGCTATTAAGACCACTTTTACACTCTTCCATCCATAAAGAGTATGTAATAGTTTCTATAATATCTGGGTATTAATGTTCGAAATTTGAGTGATTTTGACCCTGTTTGGCCCCACTCATCAGTCTCTGGAGATCAGCCTGAATCATAATGTGCATACCATCAAACTGTCATCTAAAATTCTAACCAAGTTTGCACTATCTCCAATAAAAAACAGGAGAATCAGTGAAACTGATGAAAACAACTTTATTGGATACAAAATCATAACAAAGGGCACTAACTCTGTAATTGCAAATGTTAAGGCACTGAATTATGTACACCTTACATCCACTTTTATGATCAATGATTACACCAAGTTTCATTATTCTACATCAAATGAAAACAATGTTATGCTATGGATATTAAATCTTAAGAAAGGGCACTAACTCTGTAATTGAGGTGTTGCAAACTCTGAATTTGGTGAATTGCACATCCTCTTAGTATGACCAACCTATACACCAAGTGTAATAACCTTTAACTGCAAGTAAAGTTATGCATCGGATAAAAATTTGAATTTGGTGCATCGCACATTGATCAATGTATACACCAAGTTTTTTTGTCTTAGTTGAAGCGCAAGCAACTTACATTTGTGCTCTGGACACAAAATAGGATAAAATAAAACAAGTGAACAAAGTTTCAGGTAGTTATCTTGGACAGTTTTGGAGTCATGCTCCTCACAACAGAAATTTCTAATTTGGCCAATTTGTTTCAACGAAATTCTAATTTTAATGGAAAACTTCTCTGTAGCGAAAGGTACTTCTAGAGTACAAGCTGGATAACTGTACGAAACTTTAAGTTTCAGAGCTCTGGTTTAGGAAATCCCCATGCACAGATTCACAGACAATTGATCTAACATCCTCCACAAATGTGTTTAGCAGGAATAATAGATAGCTGTTAATAACCACTGGAAATCATTGCCTATCTGCATCCATCTAAACAACAGTTGACAAATTGTAACAAAAACAATAAAACTTAAATGATTTAATTAAAGTCTTCATTACAACAACAGGAAGTCCTACATGTCACTAAAGTAAAAGAAAACAGATAAGTTTATTGTTTTAAAATGAAGAATTTTTCAACATGATGGCTGCAAGTAGGACGCCACATGTGAACATAAAATACAACGGTTTACGATGATGGAATAAGACAATAAGGTTGTTCAAAATCAAATACTTAAATGTTGAAGAATGAAACACAGGATTGAATTATGTATGAAAATAGCTCCCATGGTATTCCAACTATATGCCATTGGAAAACTATTGATAGACTTTGAAATCTTAAAACGAATCCAGGAGCCTTATAAAGCTATAAATCCAGCAAATTTGCTTATTGTAGGACTATAAATGAAGTATTTTGTATACAGAAAATCAGCATTCTTCGCTCATCAAAAGATGTTCCAAAGATTCCCATTTACAGAACACATATTTTATACATAAACTGTGGTTCCAGAAATTTCAAGGTTACAATCATTTTTATAATCTATGCTATAGCTAAGCTTTGAAAGCACAACAATCATATAAGTAATTAGTAACATTTTATGAGACTAACATAAAAATACATGGGTTATCTCCCTTTCAAGTTCCCCAAGGAAAGTTTAACAAATTGTATCTTACCCTGCCTAGAAAGCTATAATTAGGACTTATCGAAAATGCTATGTTATAAAACACTATAAATATATATAGTCAAAACTCATTATCTGGAAATTTAGGGGACCGTGGAAAATATCTTAATGTCAACTCAAACAAACTGTCCAAATATGGTCGACGATACTAGTTTCCTGATATTGATAACAGCTGAACGAAGTACGGGCTATTATAGCACTGTACATCATGGTACAAACAGTATAATTAAAGCTGTCATTTGAAATGGCAGCTGATAAACAAATAAAATTCTTCTTTCTCCTTTCATTGTTTATTCATCCAAGCAATAAAACACGTAATAACAACAACAATCAAATACATTTGTACTCAAGTCATTCTGTCCTACACACGTGTACACTACCTTTACTGGCGAAACTCATATAGATTATATATTTTACAAAATGACAATAAAATGAAAATAAAATTTGCTTTTGATATGCTACTAGAAATGATGTATTAACCTACCATTCATATTTATGTCTTTACTATGAATAAAGAAACATGTGAAAAACGCAGCACTAGAAACGTTTTACCTGTTGTAGAAAACATCATACAAACATTCTTCTTGAAAAATCAGGCACAGATATAGACCATGTCAATGAAAAATACTTCCAGCATTTCATTGTCCAGGCACTAAATCAAGTAAAGTACCTAATCACAGTCCTGTAGCAAGTCAGCCCAAAATTAGTTTTTATCAGCATTGTGGGGATCAGATTTCATAAAAAAATTTTGTACTAATTAAATGGTTTTGTTTTTATCATTCCTGAAGTTGCACGCAACCAAGCTAACTGTTTTCATGTCTTGTGTAAATGCACTACTTGTTTAATACACAAGTAAGTCACTGCTACAGGATGGTGACACTAATTAAGAAGCCAACTTTTAATTGGATAATTAAACTGGTAATTAACCGCCAAAGACGATTGTGTGTACAATTGGCTGATAAGCCGTGATTAGCCATGTAATGCACAGGTGACTTTCCATCCTATGTATGTATTGACAAATTTCATTAGACGACATGCCAATTTTTCAACAAAAATTTATTTCAAGACAACAAATGACTTTTCCCTTGCTTTACAGTTGAAGGGACTGAAAAATCACTTTGACTCAAATGAAATTTTGACTCAATGAAATTTGAGTCTTCCGAACAAAAATCATAAAGATGTTAAAGGGAAAAATTGGGACTTGGAAATTATTTCAACACGAGCGATTTTGAGAACAATGTGTTTCAACTGTAAATTAAAACACTATAAATATATATATGTATGTACATATATATACATAAATACATACTTAAATCAAGTGGTTCAATCCTTATTAGGGATTAGATGTTGATTTACAGCTGCCTGATGTTTATACAAAATTATAAATTACAATAACAAGCTTATTTCTGTACTCTGTAACCTCTCATGCACAAATAACTAGGCAGGAGAGAGATAGCACGTTTGTCATGTCACTGATCCAAACATAGCAATTGATATCTATCAAATATAAATTGGTATAGTGAGAATTTTCGAATATCCGATGATGAAGACATAATTTGTACCAAAAGTATGGAAATGAAAGATTCTGACAACATCTCTTGCCGTTGGCAGCTATGAAATACATGGAAACACTTCAAGCAGGCTTTATTCAATTATTACATAGATGTAACTTCATTGCAAGTGTTTAGATGGAGCTATTACCATCTGCAAAAACAATGCTAATGGAAAACGACTATATATGGATGACAGTTTTTTACCTTGTTATAAGAACATTAGAAAAAAATCTATGAAAACACTTTAAGCTGGGATCTATAGAGTACAGAAGGATGAGTTTAACAAGTACTTTAAAGCTTAAAATAGAAATACTAGCTATTTAGATATCTCCCTCAGAGGTTTGTCATCAAACAAGTTGATAACAGGCATGCTCAATTTTTAAAATAGAAATACTAGCTATTTAGATATCTCCCTCAGAGGTTTGTCATCAAACAAGTTGATAACAGGCATGCTCAATTTTTAAAATAGAAATACTAGCTATTTAGATATCTCCCTCAGAGGTTTGTCATCAAACAAGTTGATAACAGGCATGCTCAATTTTTAAAATAGAAATACTAGTTATTTAGATATCTCCCTCAGAGGTTTGTCATCAAACAAGTTGATAACAGGCATGCTCAATTTTTAAAATAGAAATACTAGCTATTTAGATATCTCCCTCAGAGGTTTGTCATCAAACAAGTTGATAACAGGCATGCTCAATTTTTAAAATAGAAATACTAGCTATTTAGATATCTCCCTCAGAGGTTTGTCATCAAACAAGTTGATAACAGGCATGCTCAATTTTTAAAATAGAAATACTAGTTATTTAGATATCTCCCTCAGAGGTTTGTCATCAAACAAGTTGATAACAGGCATGCTCAATTTTTAAAATAGAAATACTAGCTATTTAGATATCTCCCTCAGAGGTTTGTCATCAAACAAGTTGATAACAGGCATGCTCAATTTTTAAAATAGAAATACTAGTTATTTAGATATCTCCCTCAGAGGTTTGTCATCAAACAAGTTGATAACAGGCATGCCCAATTTGCACGATATATAATTCTGACAATAAAATATTTCATTTAATCTAATTAGCATTGCAAATAGGGCTTCAGTAACAAGATGATCAATCCAGGAAACACGATTTTGTTTGTCTCTTCATGACCAACAAAACAACATATGATTAACATTTTGAGATTTCAGATGTTTCAATGGTTTCTCTCTAAATCTCTACAAGAAACTTATTCACCACAGCACTATTTCATCAGAGAGGCTTGTCACTGTTCGGTGAGTGGTCAGATAAACAGAGGCGGTAAGTATAATGCTCAGATATGCTAAGATGGTATGAGTCAGACATCAAATGGTCAAAGGTCAGTGTAGTCAATGTGGTCATGATCAGGTCAATGTGGTCAGAGGTCAATGTGGTCAGAGGTCAAAGTCATCAGAGATCAAAGTGGTGAGAGTTCAATGTAATCAGAGGTCAATGTGACCAAATGTCAGTGTGGACAGAGGTCAACATGGTTAAAGGTCACTGTGGTCAATGTGGTTATGATCAGAGGTCAATGTGATCAGTAGTCAATGTGGTTAGTGGTCAATGTGGTTTGTGGTCAATGTGGTTAGTGGTCAATGTAGATAGTGTGTAATGGCCTTTTGAAGAGCAGTCCTAGAGTGTTCCATTGGTCAAAAAATTATCTGTGTAAAAACTTACCAAATAGGTAGACTGGGCATCGTCCCTCCTCTGGTCCTCAGTGATACAGTAGGCAGATGGCTGTTTAAGTACTGTCTGGGGTGTATTGGGCAGCTCATCCTGTCTAGTAACACTGAAAAATATGTATTATCACACATAAAAGTTACAGTACTGAAACTCCAAATATTACTAGAGGGGATTTGAAAAATAAAGATACTACAACAAAATCATAGCATAGTCTCCCAAGTTTGACTCAGTAATGAACTCAATCATTGTTACCAGCAAGGTGCTACCATTCTTAAAATGCGCTAAAAAATGTTCCAGGTTTTTGCTCTCAAAATGTGATAAAAGTAACTCCTCTGTCTTATTCTGTCCTGATGGTTGCTACAGTAAGTGGATACTTCTACCCTCTAAGAAACTGATCCATACACATAAAAATTCCCATGAATGTGGGTTACTAAAGCCTAAAAATCAGCTCCAAAAACACAAATTTACATAAAAAAAAAATTGACTGCATGACATAAAAACTTACATAATATATCACACTACCTTAAGAAACTAAGTAAAAATCTCAAATAAACTTTAATATTTCATATAGAATTGTTGCTAATTAAAAAAAACAATAAAATCACATGGTTTAATTACATTTCCACTCTTTCCCGCCCACTCCATCCCCTCCTTTCCCTCTCCATCCATCCCCTCCCCTCCCTCTCCATCCTCTCCCCTCCCCTCCATCCCCTTCTCTCCCTCTCCATTCCCTCCCCTCCCCTCCCACTCCATCTCCTCCCCCTCCATCCATCCCCGCCCCTCCTTCTCCATCCATCCCCTCCCCTCCCTCTCCATTCCCTCCCCAGTCTTCCTCCCACCCCACCTCAACTTTTCCATTCTTCAAAAAGAAATTAGGCTGCATGAAAATTATCCAGATTTCTGTATTAGATTAAAACTGTATACTTCTTGATATGTGTATTTCATTTTCACTGATATGGATTTATTTGGCTTGGTATTTGTATCTGAATTAGCTCATGTATGTCACAAACGTGATAGTGGACAATAAACAGTCCTGCGACTTATTCATCTCTGCCAAGAGTCATTTGAATTCTAGTAAATATTATGTGGCTTAGCAGCAGAATTAAACACTCAATTGACATAAACAACCAGGATATTTTGATTCCCAGACACCACAATTAAACAGTGGCAATTCCTAAATTTCATCAAATTCCCTTTCCTTGGCAGATTGAAAATGAGTTTAGGTTTTCATTATTTCTAGTTTAACCCTGTCTGTGTTGATATGGCAAGTCTAAAAGAAATTGGAATGATGTTGTTTTTTATTTTTTGTATCAAAGTACCCATGTTTGGAATGAGGCTGTCAATGAAGGCAGGAAAATCTGACATTCTTAGATTGGAATATTGACCTTGGAAAGACACGATACAATATCAGCCATGGAAATGACAAATACCCTACACTTGATCTAACCTTTACAGAGCTGGCATAGAATTGGAGTATGTAACAGACAGTTCTATCTAAGACCATGTTGCTTCTAGCTCTCTAAAGATTTACCAGTACTGAAGTGGAGAAAGTTCTTTCAAGTGACATATAGAATTATAACAAGCAAACTTTAAGAGAGAAATTTTTTAATAATATAAACCTATTCTGTGAGTTCTTGGAAAATAATCATGTATAAAATATCTTTATGAACACATTATCTTATGATTTCCAGAAGAGGCATGTAAAGCTGTCAGAGATAAGGGGAGATAATTTCTCTGTCAATTGTAAGAAGCAATGGCTCTGTCAGAGGAACAGCAACTCTACCAAATGTTAAGGGGAAGTAACTCTGTCGGGAGGAAACGATAAAGTACAGCATTACCTTGGCCAAGGAAAAATTGAAAACAAACCATTCATTACAATCAACTAAACATCACATCAAGGTCATCTCTCTGTACCATTATCTGTTATCATCAACTAAACATCACATCAAGGTCATCTCTCTGTACCACTATCTGTTATCATCAACTAAACATCACATCAAGGTCATCTCTCTGTACCACTATCTGTTATCATCAACTAAACATCACATCAAGGTCATCTCTCTGTACCACTATCTGTTATCATCAACTAAACATCACATCAAGGTCATCTCTCTGTACCACTATCTGTTATCATCAACTAAACATCACATCAAGGTCATCTCTCTGTACCACTATCTGTTATCATCAACTAAACATCACATCAAGGTCATCTCTCTGTACCACTATCTGTTATCATCAACTAAACATCACATCAAGGTCATCTCTCTGTACCACTATTTCTTATCATCAACTAAACATCAAGTCTATATCAACTTTTGTTTTTCTTTTATGCACAATATCTTGTGTTAATTATCTTAATAAATTTTAGTTGAAGAGCATGAACCTGATTTACCTGTAAATAAATTCTTTGCCAGCAACATGTTTACACAACTTCCCCTATCTAATGATAATGATAGTAGCACTCTACATAAAACAAGACCTGTATTATGTTTGGCTGATTTTAGGAGTCCTGAGAAAACATGTACAAGCAAAAACAAATCTATGTTAAGCAGGCACTAGAAATATGTGTTCTATGGCCTGTAGCTGCAACAGACATGGAGCAAAATAAATTCCAAGTTGGTGAAACACTTGATTTTGAATACTTTTTTTCATGATGAAAGACTATAAATTAAACAACCAGATCAATCATACTGATCAACCTTAAGATTTGCCCCGTTTTTTAACCTATAAGTAAAACTGACAAAATGCACTCACAACATAGTTTAGATAAATTTAGCTTTACTATTTTTCATATATAGAAGTACAGAAAAGAATATACTGTAAAAATATCAATTTTTGTGAGGATTTATTTTTTGTTATAATTATGGTTACTTTTTATCCAAAAATTAACATTGACATGGATCAATGATTTAAGAAACAAGATTTATCAACAAAATTTAATACCAAAAAAAACAGGCATATTTTTGGTACAACTAAAAAATTTGAGCTCAACAAAAATTAATGATTTCACAGTAGTGAGATGAAATTGCTGTGTATACATATATCGTGTACTTTATCTAGTACTTAAATGGCCCTATCAAGCATGGTCACAATCCTGTTTACAATATGGTCACAACTTACAAGTCTTCATTGTAAAATATTGTAATTAACATAAAAGGCAATTTCTTGTTTCTTAAATGATTGTATAGAAGTGTAGGTGTCTTATCACATCCCATTACCTGTAGCTAATGATAATCAATCAATTAAGTCTATATTTATACCACAAAGTTCAGATCGAGTGGTTTCTGTGTCAAACCAATGCAGTTTTATATAAATAGGTTTCGTTGTAGGTGTTGAAAACTAAATATCAAATGTTGGAAACAAAGGTTTTCTGTGAAGTCCATGTCTTTCAACTTTACAGTAAACCCTAGATGCTCTTTTACCTTTAATTCCAGCCAACTTTACAGTAAACCCTAGATGCTCTTTTACCTTTAATTCCAGCCAATCGCCTGGATTTTTTTTCATGTTTTTCAGAAGTGGATCTGAAAACCTCTTTTTCATGTATTTCAGAATTAACTATCTGTGTGTAAATCCTGTTTCTGAAATGAGTTCATATTTCTTAACATACAGTATAACAGCACTAGAGAATCCAATTATATCATTCCTCAATAACAAAGACAAACAGAACCCTAACACAAATAAATGAATATCCACTACCATAGCTAGCATCTCCTCAGGTGCTTTGCTCACCAACACTGGCCAAAATTAACAGCCACACACACTCTCTGTACTCCATGCTCTCAAAAACAAATTTTGTCTCTGACTATCTGTGACATGAAATCATCTACAAATGATAGCGGGGGCCTGAACTGATACACTTACTGCCAAAGAGAAGGATAGTGATTTCAATCTTTCCTGTATCTATGTGGTGAAACTATTTACTATTTATTATCCTGATACCAAACAAAAGGAGGATTAGGGCCTGTGTAAGTCACCTGACTTTGTTTGGATGAAATTGCTTTATCCAAAAAAAAAGAAAAGGAATTTTAAAAGCTTATATCTTAATTTTCCCATTGGCCCTCATTCCTCTGCCCCAGGAGGGTCAGCAAAACAATTTATATAAAAGTCTCCTTCACACATAAAATTACTTCAGGCCAAACTGAGCCTAAATCCAGCCATTCCAGTGTAAAATAAGGATGTTTATCAATTTGCCCTAGTTCCCCCATTTGGCCCCCCCCTCTTCTGCTCCAGAGGGAGCTTTACTTACCTTTACCATGGGTATTTCAGACCCCTACCAAGTGGTCTTCATTGCTCACCAGGCTTTGTTTGACTGAAATTGCTTCATCCAAACTAATTAAAGGACAAGGAATTCTAAATATAAACAAACAACACACGTACATCTATTTCCCCACTGGGCCCAATCCCTCTGTCCTTAGATGATCAAACAAACCATTCATCCTCCAGACCAAATTCGAATAGAATCCTGCCATTCTTAGAGAAGAAGGATTTTCAAGAATTAGCTCAATGTCTGCTGTGATTAGTCCTGCCCCTTACAGGGGTTTAGACCAAATACATATATAAAATTGATCTCCCTTCATCCAGAAATGCTTCATGCCAAATAAGGACAGAATTCAAACATTTATACATTCCTACTGAGGAAGTAGAATTATTAATACTTTCATCTATTTTCCCTATACCAAAAAGGTGGTCAGACCCACAGTTTATACAAAATTAAGACCCTTTCACACCAGGATGTTTCAATCAAATTGGGACACAGTTCTTACATTCCTACAGAGAAAGTAAGATTTTAAAGAGTCTGCCCTATTTCCCCTATTGGGCCCGGCCCCTACTGCTCCAGGGGGAAGAGATTCATCATTTATTAAAAATTTAAATCAAAGAATACTTCAAATCAAGAAAGGAAAAAATCATTCCTACAGAGGGAAAAGGATTTTAAAGAATTTGTGCTATTTCCCCTATTGGGCCCAGCCCAAGGGGTCCAAGATCCATCATTTACACTGTTATGGAACTTTTACAGAACTTTTAACAAGGACACTTGAGACTTTGAGCAAAATCCAATCATTGTAACAGAAGGAAGGTCTAGGATTTCTAAGAATTTGCACTATTTCC